TTGGGTAATTTGGCTTAGAGTGGCTTAAGAAGTTACACCAAATACAAAAAACAAAGAAAAGATCTGTAACATTATTTGAATTAGAATGAGCTCCATGATAGTAAAGCCAGGATGACATTCTGGGAAGCAGCAAGGAATTCAAGCTGGGCTGCACATAATATCAGCATATGAGGAAGCATATTCCACCAGTTAACAATTCTGAGTTTTGTAACCTTTTAAAAATTCTGTTAATACTGATCAGAAAATATGTCACAATCTTGTGCTGGATACAACTTGGCAAAGATAGCCCCTGAAACTATCGAAACATCTTTTTAACGCTTGATCTGTCATTTTGTTGTACAAAAGCCCAGTTTTTTGTTTGTTTGTTTGCTTTTGGGTCTTGTGCTAGCAGTTGGCCACCGCTGGCCAGTGCTTTGAGAAAGCAGATGCCCAAATCCTAATTTTTAGATGCCTCTCTTTATGGTCTTATTTACTACCAAGTGCCCATCGCCAGGAAACAGGGACTTGATTCTTGAAGGCTGGGGCCCTCTGCCCTCACACCCACACAATCAGATGGGGCACATCCTTCTCCCGCCGTTATTCCGGGAATCCCTTCTTGGCAAGTTGGAGTTCCAGATCCTGCTGATCCAGTTACCTTGCTCTCATCCCGGGCAGGATGGAGCAGCAAATGGAGCATTACGCCTCAGAGACTACCTGTACCCTGAGAGGAGAGGCTTGTCTGCCCCGGGGAACGGAGAGTCCAGGGGTGGGGGTGGCTAGCAAGGGAGCTAGGGGCCTCCAGAGCACCTAAGACCATCTGAAGCAGCAGCGGAACGGCGCCCTGGTCTTCCAGATCCTACCGAGATGCCTTATTATTCGCCTTCCAGGTTACTGGTGGGTGAGGCGGGGAAGCAGCCACGGAGGGCGGCCTAGTGAGCGAATAGTCTGAACAATCTCATGAAGTCAGAGTCAGTTAATTCCAACAGCACTAACATCAAAGGCACTTTGATTCCCGAACCAATTATACAGGATTTCCCTGGAATGAACTGAATTCATTAGAACAAAGTATGGATAATCCGTAGCGTAATATGGAAATGTAGGCAGGAAGTACTACTAATCAGATAACCAGAGGCTCAAACTAGGCTATTAAGAGACCGAAGAACTCGCTCCATTCGTGGTCAAAGGGGAACAAGCGAGGAATCCAACCGAAGCCACATTTCCCTGTGCTGCTGCTTTCCCTAAGTTCAAAAACATCTGCTAACTGCATGGAGAGGAGCCCAGGGAAACCTACCTAGGGAGGCGGGAGCAGCCTTTCCCGGCGTGAGCTGGAGCGTTTCATGCCGTGAAGCAGCAGCAGGATCCTGCCGAAGACCCCTGACTGCACGGCAGAATAATTCCCAGTGGCCACAGCACAAACCATGAGAACAGTGAGCGGGGACACTTAGGTCTCTGTGAACCTCATGGGAAGAAGAAACTACACTGATGAAGGAGTGCAAAAATCTTAATTATGCTAATAATTATACTTTAAAAGGGCATCAAGTTGGGCCCTCCCTGGTGGCACAGCGGGTTAAAGCACAGCACTAAGAATCTAAAGCCGCTTCCGCATGAGTTCGATTCCCGCCTGCCCCGGAGGTGACCACATGGCGAGGCAGACCTCTCCTGACACGCCCGCTGCTCCCCTCAGCAGTGTACTTCGTCAATCTGCCTGTTCTGTTCCCCACTCTGTCTCTGGTGAAGCCTCTCGCCGCCCCTGAGCCTCTGGCCTGTACCCCAGTTCTGTATGCACAAATAAATAAATCTTTAAAAAAATAAAAAAATAAAAAATAAATAAAATTAAAAAAAAAAAAGGGCATCAAGTTGATAAGAATTAGGAATCAGATAGGAACCTGCAAAGATCTAAAGCTGGAATGAAATACAATGAAAACTGCACCATAATTAACAGCTAGAGACATCTGGGGGTGAATGCTGGGGCCAAACAAATCTAGAGGTGAAAGCAGAGCTGGGCGGGGGCCAGGAAGACACAAACAGGAAACGGCTCAGAAGTGGGAGACTTGAGAAAAATGGAGAAAGATGAGATGGGAAAGGAAGATTCTAAAAATTTAGAGGAAAAAAGGATAGTTATGAAATTGGGGTAAATGTGATAGAAGAAATTCAGTCAGCTTACAACTAAGAGAAGAGGAAAAAATTTTGAATTTATAGTATAAGAAAATTTTTTCCATAATAAAGCAAAATGTAAATTCATGGGCCGAAAGGGTATGTACCCCGATGGGCTATGGAAACTGAGAAAACTGACCAAAATCAAGACACATCACATTGAAGTTCATGGACTAAATAGTTAAAACTACGGTGGACATCTGAACCCCAAAAAGGTTGTCTTGTACGGGACAGGATGGGATAGGTTATACCGAGGTAACAAATATTCCCCCGATCTCAGTGGGTTAAACAACACTCACGCTTCAGATCCGGGGTTGTGGGTGAACGTGGGTCGGTTGCAGGGACCTGTCCTATTGTGGCGACCAGGCTGATGGTGCCGGCACCGCCTGTAACTTGTCAAAGGGGAAAAACCCTCACCTGGAAGCGACACTTGTATGTTTTGCTTACAAGTAAGTAACTGCACAGGGACTAGGAAGAACAGCTACCAGTAAGGGAAAGCTGGAGAGCTGGATAGAATTTTATTTTTATTTTCATTAAGGTAGCATTGTGTGTAACAGCATGTCAATGTCATGCCTATGTCATTATAAATCAGCATCTATACCTTCTGCTGATAGATTTTGTTCAGTTGATTCCTTTTACCTGATTTGGCCACACTCCACCCCTCCTCCCTTCTGGTAGCCACTGAATTATCCCTAGAGTCTGAAAGTTTGATTTTGTTTTATTTAGCTCATTCATTCGCGTTGTGTCTTGATGTACCATCTACAAGTGAAATCATATTGTGTTTATCTTTCTCTGTTTGACATAATACTGAGCATAATCTCCTCTGGTCCATGCACACAGTTGTAAGTGGCAAGATTTCTTTCTTTCTTTTTTTTAAAGCTGAAGGTTATTTCACTACAAATATTTTTAAATAGCAAGCATGGCCACCACCTACCAAAAAGGGAGAGAGCATTAGGCTGACTAAGATCTTTTTGATGCCAACAGAGAATGGCATGCCATCTACAAACCTCTAAGGAAAAACATGTGTTCTTCAAGGCTTCTATACCCAGGGCAGAAATTGCCATTATGGATAATGAATCCAGGTTCTGCTTACGATGCACAAAGTTAAAAAGAGCACTGCTCCCGTCATTACCACAAGTCACCAGATACTGCAGATTCACAACTTACACTGAGCCCACAAGGCCGCTTACTTGGCAGGGGAACCAACTCCCCCAAATTCGAAGGAGAGAGAGACACCTCCACGGGAGATGGGCACCGGCTGTCCTGGAGCAGAAGCTGTCAGACAGCTCCAGTGGGAAAGGACATGCAAGACCCTAGACGCAATTTAGCAACGGGACGGACGTGATACGGAAGATCAAATGGAAGTTTCAGAAGTAAAAAGCACAGTCACAGAAGTGTTGCTGACAAGGTCATCAGTAGCCTCGGAGAGCTAATGCAACAATGACCCAGTGGCATATGTCCTGGGAACACAGGCTGGTCTGCATTCCAGAGTCCATCTGTGGTGCTCATCACATCAGAAGACTAAAGAAGAAAGAGCAAAGGACAGCTAAGTAGATGCAGACAACGAATGACATCCACTCGTGATTAAAAAAAACTCTGGGAAAACTGAATAGGAACAAACACGAGGCTCAGTAATGGCATCTACCAAACAAACAAAAAACAGAGGGAAAAAAAAAAGGATTTAGTCCCTAAAACTAGAAACAAGGCAAAGACCTGGGCTGTTGCTGCTTTTATGCAACCTCGGCCCCAGGTTCTCGCCAATGCAACAGTCAAGGGCAGAAAGAAGAAGCATCCTGCATCCTGCTCGCACGGGAAGATGTGAAATTGTCTTTCCCGGCATATCACACAACTGACTGTGGAGAAGACCCAAAACAAGGACAACTGGAACTAAAGTGGATTTGGTAAGATCACAAGAGATAAGATCCGGAAAAATCAAGTATCCATAGCAATGAACAGGAGACACTAAAAACGTTTAGGTGCCATTAAAATAGCACCAGGAAATAATCTAAGCATAAGTAGTATCAAATGTGTTAAGATTTATATGCTAAACACACTAGAACTGAAGAAAAAAAAAGAAACACTGCTGAGACCACGGACCTCCAGGACAGAGCACTGTGGTCCGGTCTCCCCTCATACCACCCCATCCCGAGGGGTCTTCTCAGGGCACTAACCAGCTACCAAGCTCCATGCCAGCTGTAAATGTGCTTTTACCACCAACCAAGGGGACGTGTGGCTGTAGCCACATTCTTTACAACATGTCTTAGGACCTGATTCAGGGAGAAGAGGAGCAAGGAGTTCGTTGCTTATGGGCATTTTTAAGCAGTCAATTTTGGTTTTGGGGAGGAAGAAAATACTTGCAGGGAGTAAAAGAAAGCACTAATATAAACAATTTTTCCATGTCGCCTTTTAAAAAATTGCAAAAGCTGTACACAGAATAGATTGCCATGGAAGACAAATTTCTTTCTCCAAATATCTTTAAGAAGGCAAAATAAATACCCATCTGTTCCCTGATGGTGTAACAGCAAAAAAAAAAAAAAAAAAAAAAAATGTCAGGAAAGCAATAGAACGCATCCCATCCACATTTGTGAAGACCTTTTTCAACCATTCATATCCCACTTCACATATGTCAGAGGCAGGAGAGTGAAATGGTAAAATAGAAAAGGCGTCCAGAAATCAAAGCCTGTAAGCGAACATCTATAATCCTTTCAAATGTTCTCGAGAAAGACATCCCCTCTCGCATTTAACCACCAAGGTGAATTACAAACCGAAAGGAATACATGCATTAATAGGACCTTCCTGAGCCTGAGGTGTCTGTCCCGCATGGGGTGGAATCGTGAATGAGCAGGGAGTGGTGCACGCCCGGTCACCTTCAAGGTCAGCCTCACGGCGTTGCAGTCCTCCTGCAGAGGGTTCAGCTTCAGCGTCTCCCCCAGGTTGCTGCAGCCGGACGACTGGTGCTGCATCTCACAGCAGACGCACACCTCGACGCTGTCAAACTTTATCTAGACAGAAGAACACAGACACGTCTCACCGTTAGCCCACTAACACGGCCTCTGCCAGGAGGTAGCTGGAGCTACGTGACCCTGATGGAAGACACCTGCTTTGGTTTTAACAACAACAATAATAATAATAATGCAGCACATTTTTTTATTGACCAAAGCCATGCAAAACATCACTAGCCATTACTTCAAACTCCCCCTTTAACACAATTAATAATAAAAATAACAATTTGGAGAAACCTAAGCTGGACATTGCGGGAAAATTATAGGAAGAGTTGAAAGTCAATAAATGGAAAACGAGGTGCAGTCAGTGATGGTGGCAACTTGTTCCATAGCTCTGTGAGGTGGGGTGGCGTAGTCTGGCCCCAAGGTCAGCAGTTGCCTGTCTCCCTTTAGGGCTTAGCAAAGTTTGCATCTGACAATACCCAAACCCAGCCCACCCTTGAGTCCTTGTCTGTTTTTCCATCTCTGGAGTTTCTGCTTTTTCTCTGGGCAGAGCTGATGTCCCATGGACTCCCAGGACAGTCACATTTCCCACCACAGTATTCATAAGGCCTAAGACTAAATGACATTAGAATAAGAAAGGAAACCTAACTCTAGAAACAGTCAAGATTAAATATACCCAATAGAAACACATGCAATGGCAACAGAAAACACGTGTTAGAACATTCATAGCAATCTGACTCGAAATAGCCTCTCACGGGCTGACATGAACAGCACTGCACCCAAACCGTGTGCTATTACAGATCTATGAACATGAATGAGCTACTACTACATAGAGTGTGAATAAATTGTTCTTCGTGGTGCTGGACACACACCAGACACAAAAGAAGAAATATGGAATGTTTCTATTTAAATGAAGTTAAATGAAAAACTGGCAAAATTAAACTATAGTGTTCAGAGATATGCGCATAACAGGCACAACTAGTTAAAAAATAAAAGACTCGCATGCCATAAAAAGTAGGGTGATGATTCTCTGCAGTAGGGATGGAGAGGCCATGAGCGGAGAGGCACGAGGGGGGCTCCTGGGTGCTGAGGGGGTTCTGGTTCCAGGTGTGTGTAGATTACATGGATACGGGCAGGTGATATTGCTAAGCGCTACATTTTTACCTTGGTACTTTATATGTTATTGCAACAGAATAGGTTAAAATGTATGGGCTTGCTTGATAATAAATGAAGTATAAAATAAACTCAGAAAAGAAAAAAAAAGTTAATAGAAAAACAGAAATATAACAAACAAAAAGTGAAACTAAGTTATAATAAATAGGATGAAAGCTAGAGATGATTCTTGAATAGAATAAACTGGACATACCCTGCTAGGGCTGATATTTTTTTGTAAGAGAAAGTCAAAGTAAATGACATTAGAATAAGAAAGGAGACCTAACTCTACAAACAGTCAAGATTAAAAGAGCACAAATAGTCATAAATTTAAAAATCTAGAGGACATGAGTAATTTCCTAGCAAAATATAAACTATTAAACTGAATTCAAAAAACGCAGTAAACCTTAAAGATCAATAACCATAAAAGAGATTAGAAAGTCCAAAATGGTTCTTCAAGCTGACTTTGCTTTGACCTTAGGTGAAAATATAATTGCTGTTTTCTTAAACAATTTCATAGTAGAGACAAAGGAGAATTATCCAATTATCTTTATAAATCTAACATTACTTAGCGAACCTGAAAAGATACTACTCTCTCCACCCCAAAACCAAAAGGCTTATTTCTCCTTTTATTAAAAAAAATTCTAATCAAGAGTATCAGATAACTGAATCCAATGCTATCTTAAATTTTACTCTATGGCTGTGTTAATGAGTGTCCTTGAATACAAACTAATAAGGAAATTTGCTGATTCATAAAACTGAGGCATTCAGGGCTTGGAATCCATGCACGGTGGCAGCCAGACGCTCAAATGTCATCACTGAGGACTCCACTCTGGCTGCCCTTCCCTCAGAGTCGGCTGTCAGCTCAGAGATAGCTCCAGAGATGAGTCCAGGACCTGGAGCCTCAACACCCTGGTTGGTAAAGACCTGCACTCCGGTTGCTCCAGCCCTGGGCCTGGCTGACCAAAGCCCCTCGCAGGTGTTTTTGAAGGACATGTAGCACGGGGAGAAATGAAACTTTGTTGTGTTAAATATTATGAATTGAGTTGTTTGTACTTCCTCCTGTCAGATACCTAAGGGAGGAAGAGCGTGGTGGGGGGGAGGCGGGGGATACAAGTTCATTATCATTCAGTTCTGGGGTTAGCAGTCTAAAATTGAAGGGCTGAAAGCTTCCTTCTACCTATTGGCTCTAGGGACAATCCAGTTCCCAAGGTTCATTTTAGAGATGGAATAGAATTCTAGACTTTAGAATCAGAATATTTTTTTTTTAAAAAAAGATCATTTATTTCTAATAGCATAGAAGAACTGGCGTATATAGGTCAGAGGTGGGGGGTGGGGAGGCTGAGAGGATCCGCGCCAGAGACAGAGCAGGGAGCAAAGCAGGTGGATTTACTGAGATAATTTTCTGCATCAACAAATGAAAAAAGAAAAATCATATGGTCCTTTAGATATAAAGCACTTATATAAAATTTAGCAGACATTCATAACAAAAACTGTATAATGAATAAGATAAAAACAATTTAAACCCAATTTTTATCTCAGACCAAAAGCAAGCATCACCTTAAATGGATAAAGACTGAAAGCAATTCCACTGTTTCAGGAATGAGACAGCAATCCACGACCATCAACACAATTCCACATTGTTTTAGCAACTTCAGCTAAGGCATTAAATTAGAAAATACTGTAAGTTGTGTAAATATTTAGAAAAAGCAGAAACATCTTTTAGAAACGACATGATTATATAGCTTTAAAAAATGCCCTATGAAACAACATTAAAAATTAACGGAATTAAGAGCTCCTGTTGCACTTATTATATAAATATAAAGTAATAACCAATTAAAAACAAAAAAAAGCAAAAAAAATTCAAATGAACTATAACAACAGAAAACACTTAGAAGCAAATTAGACATGAATGTTAAATGACCTGGGAGAAACCATGTGTAAATCGTTATTAAGTGGCCCGAACTCCAGCATTATACCTGTGGTTTCTGCTAGCTGGGCACTGCTACCATGGAGCCCCCCTGGGTGGGGAATCTCTGCCTTATGCACTCCCGTCTCCGCCAAAAGTGCTTCCCCAACGCTTGTCAAGGGAGCGGGCAGGCGACTCAGGCTCCAAGCCAGACCTTAGGCGAGAATGGGGCCACAGAAGCAGGCACACACCGGCCGGCCATTCTGGCCGTGGGTGCAGCAGACACATGACCTTCCAAAGAGGGCAGGAACTGAGGTTGGGCAGGAGGTGCCCTGAGCTCAGGGGCCAGCAGCATGTCAAGGCGGGCCCCCTCTAGAATTTCTTCAGTACTTGAGACCCTCATTGGTTTCCTGGCTGTACAATTTCCTATCTTGGTTTCTGAAATGCTTGGCATCTCTGAGCTTTCTGCGGTCCTATAATAATCCCTTGTAGGTTAAAACTACTTGAGGTGGTTTCTCCCAACTCAGAATACTCACAGGCACAAGCAGTTTAAGTCAGTGACGGTAGATGGCCTGTCCACATGGAAGGCGTCACCATTCCCAAAATGCCAGCTTTCCAAGGAATGCAACTGTACACCGGTATTCCCATCAGAATCCCAACAAGTGGATGGAACTAGATAAAATTAATGGGCTTAGGGCCCTCCCTGGTGGCGCAGCAGGCTAAAGCACAGCACTAAGAAGTTACAGCCACTTCAGCATGCGTTCGATCCCGGCCCCAGAGGTGACCCACAGAGCGCGGCAGACCTCTCCTGACCCTCCCGCTGCTCCCCTCAGCAGTGGACTTTATCGATCTGCCTGTTCTGCTCCCCACTCTATCTCTGTTGGATCCTCTCACTGCCACTGCATCTCTGGCCTGTACCCCAGTTCTGCATGCATAAATAAATCTTTTAAAAAAGTTAATGGGCTTAATGGAATCATAATGTATAAGAATTATACAAAGAAAATAAACAGGAGTGGAACCTTAGTGGTATTAAACTTCCTCTCAAGATGCTATAACTGGGCCTCCCCATTGGCCCATAGCAAAAGTCAGTACTATGAAGCTCTCAGCAGTCACTGCAGCATGAATTCCCTGACAGGGACATGACCCACACGGCATGACAGACCTCTCCTGTCTTGCCAGCTGCTCCCCTCAGCAGTGTATTTCAGTCAATCAGCCTGTTCTGCTCCCCACTGTCTCTGGTGAGTCCTTTCACCACCTTCTCCACACACACTTCTGGCCTACACCCCAGTTCTTGTATGCATAAATAAAATAAATCTTTTTAAAAAATGCTATAATTGAATTACTAAGGTTATGCCTTAAAAATAGATTAAGAAATCAATAGGATAGAATAATTACAGAAATCAAACCAATAATCTATAGGAACTTAGTATATAAAAATAGCATTTTTAATTCAGTAGGAAAATATAGTTTGCTTAATAAAAAGTATTGACATAATAACTCCTTCATTGAAAATGATCTTAAAACAGAAGACATATAGTTGACCAAAATCTACATTAAAACAACAAAAATACAGAACCAGAGAAAGCAAAATAAACACGTCCATGGAGACTGCCAAGCTCCTAGGACGTGATATGGGGGCGCCCGGGTGTCTTCAAGAGACGCAAAGGGTAAACGTCCTGACCAGCATCGGGAATGAGCACGGAACATAAACACAGATGCAGAGGGGATTAAAAATGGGAAGAAAACACTCGAAATCACTTGGAGTCAATACATTTGCAATCTAGAAAACATAGATGAGGTGTATAAGTATCAATTACTCAAGTTGGCACATTTAGGAAAAGAAAAGGTTTACAGAAGCCTGAGCAGAGGCCGGACGAGGGCATGCGAGGGACAGGACCCCACTGCACAGCGGGGCTGGAATCCCCTGGCCCCTCTCTGCCCTCGGGACTCGGCTAAGGGTGCCACAGCCTGGGGAAGAGGCCCAGTCGCCATGCCG